TCTCCTCCTAAATGTGCATTTCCTTCAGCTATTGATAATCCATCCTTTCCTATGGGCTGAAAGAATACAGAAAATCCCTGAGTGAGTCAAAGCACTTGGTACCTCAGAAGTCAGCTCCATCTCTATACTACTGCCAGCAGAATTACCTTTGAATCCTAACTTTCCTGCAGAAGGAGAGATAGTTTACTCCAAATAAGCATCATGGAGAAGCAAAGGCATATTGGTGGTTTTTTCTCTCTGGTGTTTCATGCATACAAGTGCCATGTATGTCCCCAGGTCTGGGAAGTGGATTTACTGGCTGCATCCTAACATGCTGGGAGAAACACCGTGAAATGTTAGTGTGGCATTTTACTTCTCACACAAGAGCACGAGGCCAAAATTATGATTCCAGGGATTATCTGTGAACTGTGTTTAGGCTGTGTTCATGAATAAATAACATCCAGGAGAGGGTAAACAAAGACATTCTTACACTCCATGGGTTCTTAAATCATTTGCTTCTGGTTCATATCTGCATAACACCCAGGAGTAAAAGTTCTGAAAGTAATAAATTGTTCCCTGTGATATAAGTGCAAATGAAACCAAAAGCCAAATTCCTGTACTTGTAAAAGCAGCAGGATCAAAGATGACTTAGAAAGGCAATAAGGAGCTGCAGAGGATTGAAAAGGAAATGATTGCAGGGTCCAAGTATTTGCTGGCAATTCATGGCCTTGCAATGTGAACTGCTATATTCCTCCAGCAGCAACTGAGTCTCTCAGAACAGTATATGTTATTCCCAATCTTTCAAGAGCTGCTCTAAATGCTACATCTTAAACCGGACTACTCTTTTAGCTATTCTTCATGCAAAATAAAAAGAGTATGGAAAAATAAATGTACTTGCTGGTTTTTCTAAGTGCAGCAGAATCTATTAGTTCCTTTTCACTTTTACTGTTCCAAATGTTTCACAGCAAAGGTAAACTTGCAAATTCCAATTCCAATGAACTTACATTGCTTTTGCTCTTTTATATCCTTTTTTTTTCTCATTACATTCATTAATGAAAGAATGCTTCTTACTCAGAAAGGATTTAAGGAATGGATAAGATCAGAAAGCACATAAATTAACTTTTTCTAGACAGAGTTTTTCTTAGACATAGGCAGCAGTGCAGCAGAATCAGCAGAACTGGTTGATGAAAACCAATGTATAAAAATAAATACTTGGATTTTACATTTACAAATCAAGCCTCAAGACTTGCATGAAGGTTGCACAACTGGGAGACTCAGTACAACTCATTTAACAAAAGTATTGCCTAGAACAGAAAAAATCCTCTTTCCTCCAGTCATGCTGCCCACAATATACACAGAGGGAGACTGAACAGAACACCAGGAGAAAATGGTGCCACTGGGATAAAGGATTTTGACTGCAATTCACATTTTGGAAAGCTCCATGGTGAAATGGTGGCAAGAACAGAGCTAGATTTTAAGCTAACTGAATTCAGTCATTTTCTTGCTTTAGAAATGTTTCCTAATGCACAAGAGAAAACCTTTCTAATGAATTCTATGCAACTCAGAACAGAAGGAAAAGCAACTGAAAAAATAGTAATATCTCAAAAAGTGAAACAGAACAGACCTATTAAAAAGAGGGGTTTTTTTCAGTCACAGGTTTAAGTAGTCAAAAAACAACTGAAGCTCTTTTATATTCTGCAGTTGGACCTGTAAAGTGTCACTGGGGTTTCTTAATGAAACACCACAGAGTACTGGGAAAAGACCATCAGGTTTTTGTGGTAAATTCATAATGGGCCTGTTTAATTTACTTTCTCTGTTGGTTTTCAGGCACTTGTTCATCAGAATTTATTCCAAGTAAACTCAAGGTGCCCTGGGTTTAAAGACCTTGAAGTCACTTTCTGTTCATAGTTATTGATATAATCAAGAAATGAAACTTTATACTGCAAAGACCAACATTACAGACAAGAACCACAGCTATAGACTGCAAGGTATGGCCTCGCAGTGTGTGCCTCTCTCTGAAAGGGAAAAGGACATCAGGAATAATCTCCCTCCTTCTCCTGATTCTTTTTTCCCTCCACTTTGCCAACACATAGTCGTTCTTAGATGATGAAATGAAAACAGACTAGGTCTTTTTGACTCCTCTCACAATTTCTGCATTTGACTTCAAATTTAACCTTAATTGCCTTCTGTTTCCAACAATTTTGCACCATACTGACTTGCAACACCTCACGTATCTTCTCCTACGAAATATGTCAATAAGTGCACTGTACTATATAAATACTTAAAATGACATGCAAACCTGAATGATTAAGAATGTAATGTGCTTCACTGTCTGTCATTCAAGTGACTTGTTACTTCACAAATTAAATCAAACACTAATGTCCATCTAAAATCATCTGTAGCTTGTTATCTAGTTTGACTATTTGCTTCAGAAATTTCTGCTTTCAGGAGGATGATGACTTAATATTTAATCATGGATTTCCAGAGAGAAACAGCAACAAGAACGCCTTACATGAATCTCACTCTTTTAAACTATGAGTATTTTGTTTTAAATAAAAGAGTAACCTTGCAGGGAAAGATGCAATTCTCTGGGGGTGATTTGGCATTTTTCATTTTAAAACTTAAAGTTAAAACATTCAAAATTAGAACTGAATTGCCTGAAATTGTGACAAGAAAAATTTTGGATTTTCTTTGCAGGGTAAAAATTAGTTGGGGATTTCTGGTCCCTTGAAGAAAACCTGAAATGTTGTATTTAATAGTAATTTAAACTGAAACTTCATTCCTTCAAGGTTAATTGTGCAGCAGCTGAAATCTAAAAGCTCGTTTTCGTACAGCTTGTGGAGGTTTATTAGCTGTAGGAGACCTTTAAGTAGACTCTAGAAGCACTGCTTGCCTTGCCCGTCAATATATCACAGAAAATTAGACAATGAGCATTTGGATGTCAGAAAAAAGACAAACAACTTTCTTTTGGAAAAAAATTGACACAATTGAGTATGCCAAACAGGCAACATGGACTCTTTCTGTGATTTCTAGCATCTCTGGGGCATGAGTGACACAATGCTCAACCAGATTAAGCTACATTTGTTGCTGGGATGCTCTACTGTTTTGGTTCTCAAGCGCTGCACAGATGAACTGTAAACTGTAAATACAGATTTACCTGTTTACACTCTGAAAATTTGGACACAAAATCCTTTCATTCAGTACCTATGATATTCCAGTGATGACTAATTCTAGGAACAATTTCACATGCACAGCTGGAACTGCAAGGCTTGCTAATTAAATATCAAGGTAAATAATTAAGACTCTCAAGTGTTCTGAAATTACAGAAGTCCTAAAAGGTGCTGAGGTAACACTTATCATTCCTGACAGATCTATAAAAACACAACCACAAGCAAAGGGCACCTGTAAATCAATGACAGGGAGTTTAAGTACCATGGTAAAACTACAGAATTAAGACTTCTATCTATACAATGTGTGCAAGGCAGAGGTGTAAGTCCCCAGCAGAACAGTGGAAGTTATGTCAAAAGCAGTGAAATAGCGATGCCATTTAATGATAGACTGATTTGACAACATATTTTAATGCATCACTTCACATACATAGTTTAGTCTAGAAATTTCTGTCCACATAAAATCATAACCTTTTCCCCCCCACCCCAAAAATCACATATATAGCACCCTAAACTTCTATATATGCCTAGATGTAGATACACAGACGTACCTGTGAAAGGCAAAAGTGATACCATGTTTTGGTGTGTTGCCTTCCTTTATAAAACTGATCTTCCTGATCACAGGATGATTTATAGTTAACTGATGAGAGGTGCTTCAGAAGAACCAACTATTATAAATGTTTTATATTTGGCCAGATGCCTCTTTTTTGCCTTTAAATGATGATCAGTGCATATATATAACAATAAGCATTCTTATAAGCAAAATCTTGCACATTACAGTCCCATCCAGCAAGAAAGATTGTTAATTGGTGCCAGCTATTAAATGAAAAATTGCTTTATGCTTCCCATAGGAAGATGTAATGCGAGTTAAGGAGGATACTATAACATTTATATGTAAAATTATTTAATTATGTTAGTTGGAATTTTATAAAAACATTAACCAAAGACACGTAAGTATGGCAAGTTTCAGCTCTTTGGATTTTTTACCTTGGTAAAACTAGAAACAGTATGAAATGGCACTTTGTACAGAGAAAATACAGGAACTGTTTGTAGAGACCCCTGTTATTCCTCAGTATTCACAAGTACAAATGAACAAGAGACTTCCCAGCATGGTTCTATCATGTTCACTTCCATTTCAGCTACAAAAAGAAAACCTGTGGTGTAAACATGTGACATATTGTGCTGAAAATGGTAGCTGGACTAGTATTTGACATAGTTGAAAGGAGAAAGATGGGAGTGAAAATTTTACATAAGTTGCAAGCTTTCCTCACATGTTTGGAGCACAAAGCAGAGCTCCTCTTCATTTGTGTTACTGGAAACTATGGTAGCTAACAGATGTGATGCCTGCAGAAAACAACAAATAAGGATCACCAGCCAAGGGATCTGTTCGGCTCTGAAACTACACAGGATGCTGCAGTTGCTCATTTCCTACAACCTAGTGGTATTCAAATCACATCTAAAAATTTGGGACAAGAAATAGACTTGCAGACCACAATAAAAATAGACAGCAAGGTCAATAAAGGCCAAAATGAGGTGTCTGAATAAAACACTCTGTAAACTTATGCCATGGCTAGATGTACAGAAAAGAAGTAATATTTTAGATAGCCAAATACATTACTTGCAAAAATCAATACAAATAAAGTCAGGAAAGGTTTTCTTGCTATTTTTCTTAGGAAAAAGAGGATCTCCAGTCAAGAAAAAAATAATTGAGTCAGATTAAAAGGAAAAACTATATAAAAGCATATTCATCTTTCCTTTGACTAACTTTAAAAATTAATTACAAGAAAATTATTAATGGATATTGAAATGCTAGTCCAAACTAAAAAGGCTTAATACCATTATTACTTCTTTCAGGTGGTAAAAATGATGATTGTGGTTGTGCTGACATTTGCTGGCTGCCCTACCACATTTACTTCATAGTCACTGGGATCTATCAACAATTAAACCGGTGGAAATACATTCAGCAAACCTATTTAGCCAGCTTTTGGCTTACCATGAGCTCTACAATGTACAGTCCCATTATCTACTGCTGTCTTAATAAGAGGTAAGAGCTGGTTATGAAATGAGGTGCATAACTTCACCAAGAACATAAACTGCTTAAATGAAAAAAAAAAGAATTTTCACTGAAATAGCTTCCAGTTAATGGGGAAAAAACAAAATGGAAAAAAACCCAACCCTTTTCTTAAGGTTTGTACTTGAAAAGAAGCCCCAAAAACCCAGAGGCAGACTTCCAGTAAATATTCTGGTCTACTTAAAATTTGAGAGCAAAATGCAGTTTTCAGAAACCAGTCCTTTCCATGTGCACCTCCAAAATTTTTTTTAAAAAAAACGATAGCATTTTGTTTTGGTTTGCAAAATATAAAAATAAAGAAGATGGTAATTAGTGATATAGAGTGCAAGCTGTATGTTCACCAATTGTATACCAAATTTTGTTTTGCTGGAAGAATGCAATACAAAATGTGATTTACTGTGTTCTGTAGATCTCAGCATTAGATTTCTACTGCGCTCCAAGATCTGCAATAGGCTGATAAATATTATACAAATATTACGCATTACTTAATACTAAATTACAGTATTGTTTGATAGCAACGCATTATGCTCTGAATTTCAAAGGCACTGCACCTATTGAGTTTGGTGACATTTTACAGATACTTGCTAGCCTGAGACTACTGCATTCCAGAATGGACTCAAATCTTTCATTTCAATTTATAGGACCAGGATCTACACAAACATCATCCTGGCCATCTTATTCACCAGTATTTCTTCTAGCATTATTGGATAAAGAACACCAGGAACAATTAATTACTTCACAAACTCAGTCAGTATGAATCAGTATTGATTAAGTAATCTTAAATATTATTTTAAATCTCTTTTGACTTAGCAGCCAGTGCAAAGTTTAATTACTGTCAAACTTTATAGCAATATTGCAAGGTATTTCTAAACCCCAACTAAAGATCGTGTAGCACTTGTCAAAAGGAATCTAATCAAAAATGAAGTGAACAAATCCTAACAAGTTTTTATTGGTGCAAAAACACTGGTGTCATGTCGTGAACGGCGGGAGAAATGCGACACACCATATGCGATGAATAGCAAATCCCGAAGTTTATTGAAAGCTCACCCATATTTATATTGGTGTTAATGAAGCTTATACATATTGCAAAAGCTGAGCTCATTATTGGTTAAAGCACACTTAGATCAACCACACCTACTTCTATCTTCTAACAATTATTTTGCTTCTATGTTTGCATTCTTCTAACTTTTCTACCTAAGATAACTACATTTTCTGGCAAGCGATTTTCTCCCCCGTCTTCCCGTTTCAGGGAAGGTCACTGTGACCTTTGTCAGTAATTGGACACTGGTTGCTCAGTTCCCAGCTTGTTTCCCCTATCCTTATCCATTGGTATCACATCGAAATGTCCTTTCTCAGCTAACCAATTATCCAAAAAGCTCTCTACATCTCCCCTGTTTTTCTGTTGAACAAGCATGGTTTGATTAAATGCAGTAGTTATCATCTTTCGCACCATATTCTGTAAGCATATACAAAAACAAGGCAAAACTAATACTAACAGCAAAGCTACAATAGCTACTACAATGCTAATCTTAACAATAGAACGTAACCATGATCCTAAGCTTAAAGATTTGAGCCATCCATCAATACCAAGGCCTGATTCCACCTGTAAGTTCCCAGTTAACCTCCGTAACTCAGAGAGCTGTGAGTGTACAGATTGTGCATGATCAGAGAGATTCATGCAACACATGCCCTCAAATTCTTCACAACCATGGCCTTGTGCAAGTAAAAGAAAATCAACTGCAGCTCTATTTTGAAGCGTCGCATGGCGAATAGAATCTACATCAAGCAAAAGACTGGAAATTGCTAAAGAAGTTGCATTTGTTTGTTTAGCAAGCCAACACCCTAACTTATTTAAAATAGCATGAGCACCTGCTGCTGATACCCCTGGAACTACGAAAGATGCTGCAACTATGGCCGCTGGGGACCAAAACTTTACATCGTCTCGGCAGTCAGCTGCAAATGCATGAGCCATTCGTCTGCCTCTACGATGGCGACGGCTCATGTTCAGTATCATGGACATGTTAGGTGTAAGTAGAGACAGCCGTCCAAGTGTACATGGTCCCCCATGCAGCATTGATGGGATACCGGCCCAAGCACGGTCTCCACATATTAGGAAATATCCTGCTGGCAATTGAATAGGGTCATTGGATGAGACTGACACTCTCTTTGTTGTATAATTGCACCAGGCCGATGCATTTCGGTAGACAGCCATGCTGGAAGTTACAACATTAGAGTGGTTCTTGACCGACAGCAGGCTTCTATGGTTAAAATGAATGCATGCATCTGCCATCACTGACCCTAACAACTCTAACTCTTGGGGCTCCTGTGGAGCTAGAGGAAAGCGGGAAATCCATTGATCCCAATTGTCCACACTCATCCTAGCATTGCTGGCCTTGCAAGTTGGCACATGTAAAGGGCACGGCCAGGGATCTGCTGGTAATCCAACCAAACAAGTTGTGAAAGGATTGCCAGGAGAGGACAGTGACAGGCAAATAGTCTCTTGTTTGGTTAAGTTTGCCAGGGTGACCCATATGTTAGTTTTGGGCTGCGGTGGGGCCCATGCCTGATGGTCTACACTGTCTTCAAAAGAAACAAAAATTGGTAAAGCAACAACATAAAGTTTCCATCCTATCTTGATTTTCTCAGGCACCCTTTTGGGCCACTCGGCCATCATGCTTATCACAAACTCTTAAGAACGTCTCTTTCTCCTCAGCTACAGCTTCTTTAAGTTCTTCAGACAATCCTTCCACATTTGGTTGGGATCCTGACCCACCAAAATAGGACCTATCACGTTCGACTGTGCCAGAGGAATATTTCTACCACACAAGTGGAAAAAATATACTGTAGCCAAAATACCAATTTTAAAATGAACAAATAGTTTAGATGCCTGATCTGTGTGAAGCCTTTGTTTCAGTGAAGTCTGATGTATCAACAAAGTCCTTCAGCATCTTGGTTAGACACAGGAAACAGAGAAAAATGACTCAGAACTAACTCACCTATAAAATATTAAGAAATACAAATCAGATGACGTGTTTTAGATCAGATGTTTGAAACAAATAAGCAGTGTAGAATAACTCATGTGCTTGTGAATCTCCTTATGCAAAGCCAGTGAAGAACTTAACACATGAGAGACAAGCTACAGCTCACACTGGTTATTTTCAGAGGGAAAAAAATATAAGAAGTGATGGAGAAGTTACAAGTTGAGTCGGGTGCTTAGAGTATTGTGGGTTTGCTTTAAATTAAACAGGCACAAGAAATATGTTTCTGAGTGCAAAGGGACATTAATGCTGTGGTATGATTTTTAAACCCATATTCTCTTTCAGATTAAAATGTAAATTAAATGAGAGAATATTTTAAATGACATATTGTGTTCTCACTTGGACAAAGAAAAAGAATAGCAACTAAGTACAAAATACTCTTTGTTCAATGTTACAGGAAAAGCTAAGCAACAGTTTTCCTGTAGACTGAAATCATTATTCAAACAATAGAATGAATGTTTTCTAGGCCTCAAACATCAGTGTTTATGTTTTATGTTTTAAAAGTCAATTGATGCTTGAACAGTAGGGATGAATATATTCTTTTTGGTAATTATTTATCAAAATTGTCCACAATAATAATAATAATAATAGTATTAATATTATGGTTGGAAGTCTATTATATATTTTAGTATCTGTTTTGAGTGAGAGTTTTGTTGTTTTTGTTGTTTGGAGGGAGTTTTTTTTTTTGTGCAAACTAACATTCAGGTTAAATTATAATTCTAAATGTTACATAACATCCAGTCCAGTTTTCTAAACATATAAATATGTACAATGAGTAACAGTTGTTTGGATTTTCTTCCTGCACCTGTGTAAGCAGTTATAGCATCCGATAAGGGCTTTAGTGATCTTTTTGGGCATTGAATCTAACCCCACTGTCCTATCACGACCTTTTTTGAACAAATCAGCTAAAATGTCAATTTTCTGAAGAAGGATTTTATGTTGTTGAAGTGGAGGAGATATCCATTCCAAGGCCCATATCTCCCCCGTTTTTCTGTTACGCTGAGTAAGTGCACCCAGTAAAAAATTTTGGTCCACACCAAACTGTCAGCTGTACAGGGAGATCAAGATCACGTCTCCGAACACTGCCTTGTGTAACACAGTCTAATATCTGCTGCAGTGTCTCAAGGATGAAGAGCAATAGTAAAGAAGCAGTCCTTCAGATCAATAATCAAAAGTGGCCAATCCCTTGGCAACATAGCCAGGTTAGGTAAAACAGACAATCCCATCATTGTAGCCGAGGAACATCTTAAAAGCAAAATTCCCATAGGTAATCCATCAATAATGAGTGGTCCTTTTACCCCAGTTGGAACCTTTTCCGGGTGAGCAGTTATCAGGGTTACTGTTCGCTGCTGCTGCCAGGTCCACTCTGAGGCTCTCGGCGGTGGCGGGCTGGAGGCCGGTTGAGCCGAAGAGGTGACAGCTGCTGCTTGTGTCCGGGCGCAGGGAGCTGGTGGCTGGGAAGCAGAATTGCGCCGGGCAGCCGCGGGGCGGGTGGACGTCCCGGAGCTCGCTGCTCCACGGGGGGTAGGAGGCCCGTCCTGCCGCCCCCTCGGGTCGGGGGTCGGGGCGGCTGCGGAGCGGAGCGGGACGGGAGGCGGCCACGCTGCAGCTGTTAAGTCGCCCAGGACCGGGGCCGGCACGAGCCTCTCCGGCGGGGGGGCTGCGGGCGGCACGGCTGGAGTACACGCAGGGGGGCCGCTGCCCGTAGTAGGAGCTGATAGCTGCAGGGAGCTGCTGTCTGGAGCAGGAACTCGTGTCGGCAGGGAGCCACCGCTTAACTTAGATGCCGGTGCTGGCAGGGGACCGCCGTATGGGGCAGGAACCGAAGTCGGCGAGGGGGTGCCACTTAAAACAGGCGCTGATGTCGGCGGGGCCGTGTTGCTTAGAGCAGGCGCCGATGGGGGTGGGGAACTGCTGTTTAGAGCAGGAGCTAATGTCGGCGGGGACCCAAACCAGTCTCTGTAACTCCTGTTTCTTTCACAGGCTACGCTAGTCTGCTGGGCAGCTCTTTCCTCAGCCTGGTATTTCAAGAATTCAGCATGCACGACTAGCCATAAATCTCCCAACTTTCTCGCGGCTTTATCAGCATCTATGACCGCCTGCCACAACTAATCCCCAAATATACGGCAGTCTGATAACCTGTGCACTGTGCAAGGAGTCCGAAAAAGTCTTTGAGCATAACCATGAGCTAACAACCCATGAAGCTCTTTCTGTAAATCTATACCCGTAACCTTACGCTTATATAATAAGCTAGGAAATAAATTATATGCTGCTTGTCTGTCTTTATCCGTGTTGAACGATAATAGCGCGCTTCTTGCAGCCCTTTTCCAGCTTCGGCAGCACGTATCAGCCGGGCCCCCCTCTGGGGTCACCCGGGGCCGGCACCTTCCCTTTTTCAGCGGTGCTTATTGCTGTCCTCGGCTGCGATAGGACCTGAACTCCGCTCACGCCGCCGACCGTGGCTAGTCCCGACGTCCGGGGTCACCATTTGTCGTGAACGGCGGGAGAAATGTGACACACCATATGCGATGAATAGCAAATCCCGAAGTTTATTGAAACCCCACACATATTTATATTGGTGTTAATGAAGCTTATACATATTGCAAAAGCTGAGCTCATTATTGGTTAAAGCACACTTAGATCAACCACACCTACTTCTATCTTCTAACAATTATTTTGCTTCTATGTTTGCATTCTTCTAACTTTTCTACCTAAGATAACTACATTTTCTGGCAAGCGATTTTCTCCCCCGTCTTCCCGTTTCAGGGAAGGTCACTGTGACCTTTGTCAGTAACTGGACACTGGTTGCTCAGTTCCCAGCTTGTTTCCCCTATCCTTATCCATTGGTATCACATCGAAATGTCCTTTCTCAGCTAACCAATTATCCAAAAAGTTCTCTACAGTGTCATCCTTCTTGATGAGGATAACTTATGACAATTCCATTCATGATCTTTTAAAAAGACAAGGTAATGACTAAATTCATAGAGCCTTCTGATGAGCTTTTCATCATTTACAATTGTTTAAAGATGAGGAAAAATTTTAGCGTGCCAGAACAAAACTAACTAAAATGGCAAATTTTCCATGAATTTCAACAGAAACCAGATTTCACTACGTGTCCAGTGTCTGCAAAATCAAAGGCAAGGAAAAATGAGGCCTCATTTTTTTCAGTTACTACCATAAAACTTCTAAACCAATCCCATTTTCTTCAAAAAGTTGTTATGGCACAGTTACAAAAGTATTTATAAAAAATAATATCTCTGATGTGGCTTATGTTTGACACTTGCAAACTGCAAAATTAAATGTCTGGATTATAGAATACAGCCCAATAAAAATTAATATTTTGAGACATACTAAAGGTCACCTTATTCAGAATTTGATGCAAGAATGAAGTCCTGGCAACAGTGCTCTTATAATTAAGTTCCATATTGAAATGAAGATACCAGAATATCTGCTTCCTTTTCATTAAATAGGAAAATAGAGCTTGTTGCTGGGAGTCAGATCAATTCATGCTTCTGCTGCATCTAGTATCAGACAGAGTTAGAACATCTAGCCCCAGCATCATCTTCCAGGCTAATTAGGATATTACGTATCTAGATAAAGAGAGCATTATTTCAAGATGAAGAAAAAACATGCCCTGAATTAGAAAGAGGATGGAAGGTGCCAAGAAAAGTAATACAGTTAAAAGATGTTTTGGTTTTACAATTCCTGTCACTAAATCCATTTCCATCAGAGGCTCTTTCAGTATTTTTCCAAAATATGGACTGCATGTAAACAGAGAATGCTGAATAGCAACCTACCTGCTCAGTTGTCATCATGTGAGAACTCCATGGCAAACTTAAAAATTTGAGGAAGGAAAAGTCACTTCTGTGAGATCTGTTAACTTTAACTGAACACTAGATCTGAATTTTTACCTGCGGTCATCACTGTGGTCGTTTAACCACTGCTCCAAAAAACTTACAAACAGGATAAACAATGGAGCTGATTGTTTAAACAAAACAAGAGAAGCAAGACAAGTGAGAAAGTCAGATAAGCTTTAGGTGTAGGTGAAAAGGTCTTCTTTTTCCAGTTATACACAGATAGATAGAGAATTGCTTTTCTAATATAGTAAGCTTTTATTCTGGAAGCACATACACAGAAAATGTAACAATGGCCTTTATGGTGAATCCCTGCCTCTGTATGAGTATTGCAAACACTGACGCTCTAAAGCTTTAAAATACCTGTTTGTAGATTGCTCACATTCAGATTTCAACTTTCTAGGATCCTCTTAATTATTAAAAATTATTTTCCAAATATTTCACATGAACAATTATTAGTCATTAACTCATTCCCATATAAGCATCTCTGTTAGAGAGAAACACAGAAGGGATATTGAAATTTGGAAACTTGGATGGTATTTTAGAGAAAAGAAAGTTAGGAAGTTTCTTGCAGAAAGAGGAAGAAAATATAGGTGCAGATCTCAATAGAGGTCAAATCAAAACAATTTCTATGAAGACAGTTCTGTGAAAGTTGGTGTTTGTTTACTTTGCACAGGCAAAAGACAGGAAATTCATTATAAGGAAAATACCACTGTTAAAATGCAGGGACAGCATATAGAAAATCAGAAACCGAAATGAGTTGTTACCACTATCTTTTTTGCCCTACTCTGACTTCAGTCAAGGAAACTCCCACTGACTTCAGCCCACCCAGGTCTAGGGGCAGGATAACTGGCCAAGTCAGTATCCTGGCAGCACTGTGTGTTTTCAGATGAAGGCCTGGGGCCTTGCAAGCCCAGGCTTTCACCAGGCTTCTTTCCTCCCTAGGTTCCGAGCTGGCTTCAAGGGAGCTCTGAGCTGGTGCCCCTTCATTGAGGTGTCCAACTATGAGGAGCTGGAGCTGAAGGGGCAGCCAGGTTCCACCCCACGTGGCAGAGCAGCCTCTACGCTGCGTCCAGGATGGACTCCAGCATGACGGTGGTGTTGGACACTAACGATGGAGACAGCGTGCACGCCAGCCATAAGAAAAGAGCAGCTCCAAGGGACCTGAACTTCAGTGGTTGCTCACAGGAATTCCAAGACTGTCTCCATGGCCTCAAGCCTCATCAGTTCACTGCACACATCAGCAGATGTTTATTCCTAAAATTTCACATTGCTAGAAGGGCAACACTGGACAATGTTCTCCTACTTTGGAACTCGGCATCCATACCACAGGAAAGCAAACCAGATTCCACTAATAAACCCTAGCTATAAATATTGTGAGACTTTTTGGAAATCTCTTCCTTTTTTTTTTGCTTTGGAGAAGAAGAGGAATTTGAAGACATATGTATGTCTCAGTCCAAAAGCATAGTTGAACCTTAGCCGCAACAATGTTTGTAGGGATTATCCAGAATAAACCAATGGCATTAAAAACTTTGTTTCAGTTGTCTCTGACCTGTGGCGTTTGACTTACCAAAACGTAACAGGCTCCTTTAGTTATTGAAGCAGAAATGTACTGTGTTTTCCATTATGAGTGTATTAATTCTACAGTAACAAAATTACGTAATATTTGATTATAAAGATATATTTATAATTAACACCTAATGAGCCCCAAGTCTATAAAGCTGTTTCACAATTTAGCTCCATTCCCAGACAGATAAAATTAAGTTCACATGAATGCAGTTCAGCTCTGTCTGCAACAGTAATTTTGCAAATATATATAAGAACAGGAGAACATGACTAAGAGACTAAGTTAATTCTACCAAAGTTTGCATATTAGTAAACATTAGACTCTAATGGGATTGTACTTCCAGGGGAATATATTGCTTTGATGAATCTCTCATAGCTTTGTATCTTAGTTCTAGGGGTAAGGTCTGTCTCCAGTGACCTTAACAGAACCTTTCTGATTGACTTTAGAAAGGCCAAAAGATTTTAAACTGGAGATTCATATATGAAAAAAATAACACTGTGGCCACAGACTCTTCTCTGCAGAAGTAACAAGATTCATGATGAAAAACTTCCACTGGAAAAAAAACCCAAAAAACTATTTGGGCTCTTTTCACAGTTTTTTCCATAACTTGATGCATGCAAAAATACTCCTGTGCCTGCCTCTGAAAATATGCTAGGCATTCTTACACAGATATCTTCCCACTGAATTCAGACAAAATCTGCTTACCATCACTGTTGCAGAGGAAGCTGAATGTAACAAAAAAAGGGACCAGAGAGCAGCCTTAGTTTTAGTTAAATGACTGTGTCAGTTGCATGGATAGACTGGTTACATGAATGTTTGTTGTCAAACAATTAATAAAAACACAAGCAAGAGTGTGACTGTCTTCCTGAGTTAGCCAAACCAGCACAGGACAGTGTATATCTGGCTGAACCCAACACAGTACCAAAGCTGAGCAATTAATAAAGAGACATTTGAAGAGAGAAAGGCTTGAGCTGGCTTTAGTCCACATTCCTTCCCAGCAACTGGGGATGATCAGCATTGTGACAGTGAGCATATCAAACAAGACCAGTAAAACAAGAATCATATTTGTATTGTGATTCATGTATATAGTCAATTGTTATGTTCTGCTAAGTGTTAACTTGTACTCGTATAGTGATTGCAGTGCACTGTGGTATCACTTACTAAATCAAAATCCTGCATAAGGTAAAATATCCTCAAATACATAAACCTGATACATTAAATTCTCCATGTACAGAAAAACTGGAGAACCTGGTCATAGAATACTGTACTCTTACAAAAATGAATCACAATTCCAGACTCACACTTTTTCTATCTATAGCCTGTCCTAGGGTGACGTTATGATGCTTGTATTCCCATTCATGTGTTCTGTTAATGTTGGATATTATGTTCTGTACCTTTAAGACCAGCTCTGAAGAGGGAAAGTTTTGTTTTGGTTTTCTTATCAGCCTGGCGGGACACAGAGACTGCAGCTTTTGCTTTTGCTGCTTTTGCTTTTTGCTTTGCTCTCTCGCTCTTGCTTGCTTCACTTCTGCTTGCTTTTGCTCATTAGCTAGTTTAGCTAAACTGTCCAATTTCTTCCTGGACTGTTTCTCCTTTCCTTTTTCTGATCATTTCGAACCTGCTCCGGACTGGGACCTGGGAAACACCAAGATCCTGCACCTTGTGGCCTGCAGCAGCTGCCCCAGTGCCGGAGGGACTGAGAACAGAGTGACCACCCCCCAAGAGAGACTTTCTGAATTTGTCATCTTTTTTTCAGAGCGGTGTCATCCGGTATTGTTCATTTTGTGTGCTGGGGGGTGCTGTGCTTGTTAAATAGGTTCTTTCCACTCCTCTCCGAGGAATCCTTCCAGAACCGGTTGGGGGGAGGGGCTCTGTGGGTTTGCTTACTGGAGGAGCCCTAATTTGGAAATTCTCCTCCAAATTTGCCCTAAACCACGACAAGCCTGATATTAAATCCACTGAAACAATCCATTCATTAATGACTTCCCTTTTAAATGTCAGTCCATGCTTTTCAACACACTATTTCTCTAAAAAAAGCAGGTATTTTCCAACATTGTAATTGTCATGCTCTCATATTAAATATTAAGCCCCAAATGTTTCGGGGTGTGTCCTGCCTGGCTTCATCTGGCCTCGCTGCTGGACCAAAGGCAGCAGCTGTGGCGTTTTTCACCCCAGAGATACCTTTGGCTGGCTAGGTGCTGCAGCTGGGCGCTCATAACAAGTCCAGGCAAAATAGGAACTCAGTTTACCTTTGGTAGAAAAGGTTCAGACGGTGAAGAGAAAAGGAGCGGGTTCTGCTGTGTAGCTTAGATCCAGAGTTTATTGTAGCATGGTAGATTTCTGACTCTGGCAACCCCTCCAGACAGCCAGACGACAGAGACAGAACCACGGCAGAGACCACGGCAGAGACCCCCCGACCGCATGGTTTCGTGTTCTTTTAAGCCCCCGGGGACAGGGGGAGGGGACGGACAGGTGAGGGCCAACCAGGTGTGAGCAGGGGAAGGGTCAGGGGATGTGGACGCTAGGACAAACCAATGAGCCCAGGCATGGGGGGCATCTGCCAATCACACGACGCCTTGCTGGAAGGTGCGAGGCAGGAGGGCACAGGGGGAGGCAGAAAGGTTAGCACACCTGAGGGGGTTTGGATAGTTGAAACAGGAAATGGTGACACGCTGCAACACTCTCACTTCTCCTTGTCTTTTTTTAGAGTGTAGTAATCCAGCAAGTGTCATGCAATGCCTATAAAAATACTTGTGAATTTTTTCCCCTTAAATACTCTGTTTTAAGAACTTTAAATCTTAACAGGTTTTTAACAACTCTGTTAAGAACATCCAGGATAGTCACACACAAAAAAAATGATGCTAAGTACATTAACCTGATGGTGATGTACTACAAACACATGCTGTGAAGTCCTCTGTCTGCTCATGTACAACTTGTGAGAAACATACATAGAGAAAAGGTATACTTGTTAAATAAACAGTCTTTTCTAACAATGGCTATTATGAAATCAGTGTTGATAAATTTATTGTTTTTAAATGTAGAGTATAAATTTTAAAAAGCTGTATATAAAAGTACAGCAGCATAAATGTATAAAACATCATCTTCATGTAACATTTAGGATTTTTCATTGACAAATATCAAGAAAGCAATGGTGGCCTCCTCACACTTGTACCTCTAGTGAAACAATTTCACTTTAAGTGTTTATGATATGACCTCCTGGACAACTAATCCATTAATATCTCGCTATATTTTGGTGGGCTAGAAGTATCAAAAACACCCTCACCATTCCTGTAGTTCTTCTGAAGTTACAGGATATTCCTGTTTAACAAATTAAGAAATCTCTGCCTGTAATCACAACATTACTTTAACAAAACATTACAGTGATAATATGGTGCAAATCAATCTGTGTCTCAGCCCCCAAGAACATGCAGGGTTACACAGTTAAACAAGTAGCACAGCAAAAGCTGTGACTGACAGCAGCTTCTATATGAATTATTATTTCTGAACAAACATTTTCAGCAAGTGGCCTGGTCACTATAAAACGCCTTACAGGCCTCCTGACCGCCCTCACTGAGTGTTCAGGAAATCAGGTCATCCTCAGTTTGTGTCAATAAGACTGTTCAAAGTAGTAGTGGGCATACAGAGCACTTGCTCTTGCATGATTGCTGGTGTAGCACTGTGGCTGTCTCATGTCTACAACCTTCAATCCACACTCTTCAGTTTTGCTAGGAGTGAGTTAAGGAAAACAGACAGATGCAGAGCTAGCTTCTTACCAAGAAGGGCACAATAATACTCCAAAACAGCTGTGATTAAACAGCATCAGGAAAGGTCTTCTGATCCTGAAATCTTCTGAAACATGTTCATCCTTCTCATTATAACAGTTTGTAGTACTTCAGCCCAGGCTCCTACTGGAGTCTGCCTCAAACGCATGTGTGATGAAGAGATCATTGCTCCCTGAACAGCCATTTTGCAAGGACATTCCCTTGGTAGAGAACAGGTTTAATTTTCACATCACCAAAGACAAAAAAAATCAGCATCAGTTTACTCTGTCATTCCCACGACATTGGCTAAACTTGCAACAAAACCCCCAAAAAAACTGAAAAGAAATCCTCCCCCCAAAAAAAAACACCAACACAGACAAACCAACTTAAAAAGCAAAACATGACTATTTAAACAAGCCCCCTCATTTCTTGTCTCAAGTCTTTGTGGTGGTGCATTCTCCTCCCCACACTTTTCCTTGAACCACTCTACAACCTCAGGAATCTCCACTGGGCATTGGCCTTTGTGTGATGAGTTGAGTGGTCAAGCTTCCCTTGACCATATGGCAACTCTTGAGTGGTTGAGCTAGGAACATCCCTGAGATGAAGGACAAGAGCACAGTCAGTCCCCCACTTACAGCCTTGGGACTTTCCCTGAACCATAACTCGAGGGGAATAATACCATTGTGGCCAGAGTTTTGAAAACAATTTGGAATTGTTTTAGAAACTCCAGTCAGTACTGATCTGAGGATGGAAATTTTACAGATTACATCTCACTGCCCTATAAATAGGGGTCCTAAGTGAGGCCCTTTGAGCTTCCCTGGACTTCAGTGGGGTGCACCAGAATCTCCCTTTGAGTGGGAGATGGCTCTCAGAGCTTGCAAACTCTCATGTTTGTGAGAAAACTGAAGACAGGGCATAGGCAGATAAAGTCTC